TTAACAAGAACGTAACAACATGACTCGTAACTGACTCAGCTGTGGTGAGGCTTATCAGAAATTAAGAATTCTTTCCACAGGTTCATCAGGAGACTTGACAGAGCAAAAAAAAAGAATTAATAAACATGAAAATACCCCAAACTAAATCAATGGATTAATTCCAACACATATCAACCATAACGGACAGAGTAGAACTGCCTTCTGTAGTTTCCAAGACTGCTTTATAGAAGCTGACTGCCATATCTTTACCCCTGGAGTGGCCCTTGGTTTGAACCTTTCTGTTAACAACTGAGCAATTAACTAACACATTATCAGAGCACCTAACCTGAAAATTGGTCAAGAGAAATTACCTAATATTAGTATACAAAAACAAAAGGGCTTAAAAATAAAATTATCATATAGCATGTCAGGAGTTCTGATGTGGTGCCATAGAATAAGCACTGGACTTCAAGTTGGTTTGAACCTCAATATTGGCGGTTCAAACTCAACAGGTGCTACTCCAAAATCCTGTACAGGGTTGCTATGAGTCAGATTTGACTCAATGACACTTAACAAAAGTATAACATGTAAGAGCTGTGGAACAATATCAGATGATATAACAGACACGTAACTGAGTTCCCAAAGGAGAAGAGTGAAATAATCAGGTGGTAAAACTCTCTGAAAAGATGCTGATTAGCCCAGGATTTCCAAAAAACAATGAAAGACATCAAACCACAGATCCAAGAAGCCCTAAGAACCACAAGCAGGTTTAATGGCAGAAAACAACAATAGTAGACAAACCAAACTATCTAGTTATAGATACATTATAGTCACACTACTGAAAACCAAACAAAAAGAGGAAATCTTAAAAGCAGCCAGAGAAAAAGACACATTATATATGAGGATCAATGATAGGAATCACTGCAGATTTTTGGTCAGAGATTGGGCAAGCGGTGCAACTCAGTATGTTGTTGTTGTTGTTGTTAAGTGCCGTCGAGTCGGTTCCGACCCATAGCGACCCTGTACAGGGTTTCCGAGGGTGTAAATCCTTACGGGAGTAGAAAGCCTCATCTTTCTCCCGCGGAGCGGCTGGTAGTTTCGAACCGCTGACCTTAAGGTTCGCAGCCCGATTCGTAACCACTACGCTACCAGAGCTCCTTGCAACTCAGTATAATGATACCTTAATATTCTGAAAAACTATTTATTCCAAATTAAATAACCAGCAAAAAACTAAATAACCAACAACAACAACAAAAAAAGGAAGGTGGATTATGGAATCCAGATCATGTATAGAACTCATACAACTTAATAACAAAAAGACAAACAACCCAATTTAAAATGGACAAAGGATTTTAACAGGTATTTCTCCAAAGAATATATATAAATTGCCAACAAGCACATTAAAGATGTTCAACATTACTCATCACCAGGGAAATGCAAATCAAAACACCATCTTCATACTTGTTAGCTTGGCTACAATTTGAAAACAGAAAAAGATGGGATCTAATACATGGCATAAAAACACAGTCAAACAAACTAGAAAACAAATAGATGACTGGGGCTTCCCAAAAATTTAACATTTATGTGCATCAAAAGATTTCACCACAAAACTAAAAACAATGCCCACAGACTGGGAAAACATATTCTGCAATCACCTATCAAACACCCTAAAAGTTATGGAAAACAACAACATTTCTGGGGTCCTGGTGTGGTGCTGTAGGGTAAAGTTGGTTTGAACTACAAAGAACCACTCTTCAGAAATGTTATACAGGGTCGCTATGTGTTGGAACCAGCTTGACAGAACTTAACAACACCTCTACAAGAAAAAGACAGACAACCCAATTAAAAAATGCACACAGGACATGAACAGACACTTCAACAAGGAACACATTCACACAGCCAACAAACATATGAAGAAATGTTCACAATCATTAGCTATTAAGGGCAAAAATCAAAACAATTACGATATCATCTCATACCAGCATTAATAACAAAAACAGAAAACAACAAATGCTGGCGAGGGTGTGGAGAGATTGGGTCCCTTCTACATTGCTGGTGGGACTGTGAAATGGTCCAACCATTGTTCAAACAGTATGATGCTTCCTCAGAAAGGCAGAAACTGAAATACCACATGACTCAGCGATCCATCTATTTGGTGTATACCCACAAGACAGAAGAGCTAGGACATGAGTAGGTACATGCACACCCATGTTCACTATAGCACTATTCACAACAGCAAAACGATGGAGACAGTCTAAATGCCCATTAATGGAAGAATGGATAAACAAACTTTGGTACACACACACAATGGAACACTATGCAAAGGTAAAGGATAACAAATCTACAAAACAGCTTATAACATGGATGAACCTGGAGGACATTATACTGAGTGAAATTAGTCAATTACAAAAAGACAAATATTATATAAGGCCGCTATTGTACAAACTCAAGAGAAAGTTTTCAAACTAGAAGAAACAGTCTTTGATGGCTACCAGGGGTGGAAGGGAAGGGAGAGTAATTCATGGGTTAGAGGGCAATATAGTTATTTTCTGGCTAGATGGGGAGGGCAATATAAAAAGGAGAGGGCTACATACAAGAAGAGGGAGGTTGGCAGAAGAATGATGAAGACAGGTGAAGACACAGGGGGATATGCAAGGGCTAAAAGGGACAGACGTAAATATTTTGCTATATACACAACCTTAGAACAACAGTGTTCCGTGGGTGGATGCATGGACAGAAATACAAGCTAAATGGGAGTGGGAGGAAGAGTAAAAGTATACTCAAAAATACATAAAAGTTTGAAAGAGGACATTTGTACATGGGCATTTATTTTTGCTGTAAACATAACTATGAATGTGGTGGCACATACAGGAAGCAAAATGATGAAAACGTCTTAGATATTATCAACCACCTTAAAGCAATGAATTTCTGGGTCTGGGGGCTCAGGATCATAGTCTCAGGGGGCACCATGGTCAACTGCTATAACATCATCCACAAGATAGTTTTCTATATCCCACTTCGGTGAGTAGCCTCATGAACATCCAACTTAAGCAGCAGCTACTGGTTTCGCTATGTGTGGAAGAAAAAAAAGTGATGAGAATTGAAGATGCTTGGAATCAATTAGCCCAACAGACAAATGGAATATGTGATCATCAGTCTCCACAACTCTGAGACCAAGAATTACTACACGGTGTCTACCTACCACTACCAACTGCTCTCAAAGGGATCACATTAGAAGGTTCTGGCTAGAGTAAAAGAAAATGTGAAACAAAAGCCAAAATTATTTTTTAAAAAAGACTGGTTTACTGGTCAGAAAGAGACTGGAGGAACCTGAGACTATGGCCCTAAACCACTCTACAGGTCTGGAAAGGAATTCACCCTCGCAGCCCAATTTTCTGCCAAGCTTATATAGGTACAGCAACACTAGTAAGGTATGCTCACCATGGAATGGTCAATCACTCAAAATCAAAAATGCAACAATTACCTAAGGACAAAGTTGAGAAGAAATGGGAAGGTAGGTGGAATGCAAACAGGAACCACAGGGAGGAAGTGGGGTAACTGCTATTGCATGGAGGGGATTGCAATCACTGAGATGAAGCAAAGTGTACAATTTGTTGACTATAAAACTGATGATCTTCTCTGTAAGCCTTCTCTCAAATCACAATAAAAAGTTTTTTAAAAATAATAGAAAATAACAAATGTTAAGAGAGGATATGGAGAAACTATGGAGAAACTGGAACCCTGATCCCTGTTAGTGGGAATGCAAAATGGTGCAGCCACTGTGGAAAAGTCTGGCCACTCTGAGGTTAGTGCCACACTAGGACTCCCTATAGAAGTACAATATGACCCAACAATTTCACCTCAAAAGTGAAAATAGGGACTCAAACAGATATTTATGTTCTCTTGTTTATAGCAGCATATAGTTCATAATAGTAAAAAGGTAGGAAACAATTCATGTATCCATGACCAAATGAATGGATAAACAAAATCTGGTGTATAACCACACAATGGGATATTATTCAGCCATAAAAAGGAATGAAATACTGATACATTCTACAACATGGTTGAACCTTGAAAGCATTATGCTAACTGAATGCTGTTGTTGTGTGCCAATGAGTTGGTTCCGATTCATAGTGATCCTGTAAAGGGTTTATGAGAGTGGCTGGTGGATTTCAACTCCTGATCCTGTGGTTACCAGACCAGTGCTTATCCTACAGCACCACTAATACTTAAGTGACATCAAGTTAGTTACAACTCTGAGCAACTCTATTGGGTTTCTGAGGGAACAACTAACTGATGGGTTTGAGCTGCCAACTTTGTGGTTAGAAGTCCAGAGCTTATCCTATAGCACTATACCAAGAGTTCACACACAAAAGGCTGGATGTGGTATGATTTCATTTATAGGAAATATTCAAAATAGGCATAATTTATAGACATAGAACTTCTTGTGTGGTGCTGTAAGACTAGCACTGTACTACAAACTACAAGGTCTTCAGTTCAAACCCACCAGCAGTTCCTCAAAAATGCTATATAGGGTCACTATGAGTTGGAACCAATTTGATGGCACTTAACAGCATAACAGCAACCACAAAGACAAAGGAGACAGAACAGTGGTTTCAAGGAAGTAGGGAGATGGAGAAAATGGAAAGTGACTGCTTAATGAGAAGTTTTCCTTCTAGGGCGATGAAAATATTCTGGAACTTGATAGTCATAATGGATGCACAACACTGCATTAATGGTAAATTCTGCATTATGTATATGAGGGGGCTTAAAAAAGTTTGTGGAAAAATGGAATGAAAAGATAACCAATTTTTTCACAAAGTTTTTGAAGCAGTTTTGCATTTTATCACATTTAAAAAATATGAAGGCAATATAAAGACTTGCCAGCAGATTAATTTTATAAGAAAAGTTAAAGGAACATAATTATGAAACAGAAACTTTGATGAAATTAAGAAATCCCAAAAGGGTAAAAAGAAGTAAATATAAATCACTTCAAAACGTAACAATTTGTTAGTACTTACTCAGCCAGTTCAGCTCTAAAGCGCCAATTTCTACTATTATCGGTCACCAAAAACTCCTGAAGTTGATACAGGTATTCTCTTCTTCTGTCAATATTAAGAAGCTGAAGTAATAAAATAAAAAATACTAATACAAATAAGGTATAAACATTGTTTCTTTTACTAGACGTCTTTTAAAGGGACTATAAGTAAAACGGTTTAGTATAAGACGTAGAGTGCTGAATCAATCATTGTAAAAATTAATATTAAATTCATTTTTCCTGGAATAATTATTTACCTTCAAGAATAATCATCCTTTTTCAAAATCTTTGTCTACTGAGCCTGTAGCTGACTTTCACTGAATATTACAGTACCTTTGGCATAGCTTTATTTATCACCCATTTTACTCTTATAACATTCTTGTCACCATGTACTCTCATTTCTTAAATATTTAAATTCCTTTTTGGTGAAAATATACACATCGAAACCTATTCCCATTCAGTTGTTTCTGTACCTAATGATCAGGAACATTGGTTATGTTCTTCACATTTTGTCAACATTCTCATGACTTCATTCTAGTTGTTTCACTTCAATTTATTTGAAACCCTTGCCCCCGCCCACCGCCACAACCTTTTCATTTACACTTTAAAATAGCTGTTACTTTTTGGTCTTATATAATTTTTTTTTTAATGCAATAAAGGGTGATATCTTTATTCCCTGGATTAAGCTGTTAAAGGTGACTTATGAGGATAGTTTCAATTAAAAGTCTGAAAAACAAGTCAGGGTCATAGTTTTGGGGACTCCTCTAACCTTAATAGGTCCAAATACATCTGGGTTCTTAAAGAATATGAAGTTTGGTGCCACATTTTTCTCTTTTTATCAGGATTCATCTATAGTTTCCAATATCGGAATGTTCTGTTGTAACTAAACACCATCTAGTTTTTCAGGTTTCAAGGGGGAGAAAGTAATGGTTCATGTAGACAATTGTCTGTAACTCAGTTCCTTCTATGAGTCTTGCCTTTCTCTCTTTTGTTAGACAAATGAAGACCAACAGTTGTACCTTAGATGGCTGCTCATAAGCTTTTAAGACTACTGAAATATTCACCATATTAGAAGGTAGAACATAAACTTTAAATTATAATATAGACCTTGGTTTTATTATGTGCTGTTGAGTTGGTTCCAACTCTTAGCTGTCATGTATAGGGTTTCCAAGAGTGGTTGGTGGATTTGAACTGCAGACCTTATGGATAGCAGTCCAGAACCCATCCTATGACACACACCATGCCAGAGCTCAGTATGTTGTTGCTTAGTGCCATCGAGTTGGTTCCGACTCATAGTGACACTTTAAAGTTTCTGAGGAGGCAGCTGGTGAATTTGAACCACCAACCTTGCAGTTCAAATCAACCTGTGGTCAAGTGTTTATACAACATTGCCACACAAGGACTCTGATCGCAACATAGCACTATCTAACATAATATCTAAGAAATTTTCTAAAACATAGGGAACCGTGGCTTGTAGGATGAACACTGAACTGCAAACTACAAGGCTGGCAGTTTGAACCCACCAGCTGCTCCACAGGAGCAAGATGAAACTTTCTGCTCCCACAAAGATTTACAGCCTTGGAAACACTATATAGGGTTGCTATGAATTGGTACCCACTGGTCGGCTCTTAACCACACCACCATATTATATAAACCATATAACGTATTGTTTCTAGGTGCGGTCAAGTTAGTTTTGACTCATAATGACACAAAGCATAACAGAATGAAATACTGCCTGTCCTGCGCCATCTTCACAGTTGCTATATTTAAGTCCATTATGTGTCAATCCAACCTGTTTTCCCTGAACCTCTACTTTACACCAAGTGTGATGTCCTTCTCCAGACACTAGTTCTTCCTGACAACATGTCCAAAATACGAGACAAAGTCTGCCCATTCTTGTTTCTAAGGAGCATTCTGGCTGCACTTCTTCCCTGACAGATTTGTGTTTTTGTTTTCCTGTCAGTTTACAGCATTTTCAATATTCTTCACCAACACCATAATTCAAATGCACTGCTTCTTTTCTGGTAGTCCTTACTCACTGTCCTTCGATTAAAAATATCATGGCTTGGGTCAGGCACACCTTAGTCCTTAAAGTTACATCTTTGCTCGTTAACACTTTAATGAGGACTTCTGCAGCAAATTCGCTTAATTCAATGCATCATTTGGTTTCTCCACTGATGCCTCCATGAGCATTGATTATGGATCCAAGCAAAATGAAGTCTTTGATAACTTCAATATTTTGTCTGTTAATCATGATGTTATTGGTCCAGTTGTGAGGATTTTAGTTTGCTTTTCATTGAGGAACAATCCACATTAAAGGATGTATTATTTGATTTTCATCAGTAAGTATCCTAAGTCTTCTTCACCTCTAGCTTAACAAGGTTGTATCATCTGCGTATTTCAGTTGGTTAATGAGTCTTTCTCTAATCCTGATGCCTTATTCTTCTTCATATAATCCAGCTTCTCAGATTACTTGTTCAGCATACAGACTGAGTTGTTGTTGTTATGTGCCATGGAGTCAGTTCCGACCCATAGCGACCCTGAACAGGGTTGCTGAGGCTGTAAATCTATTCAGGAGCAAAAAGCCTCATCTTTCTCCCGCAGAGCAAGATGATAGTTTCGAACTGCTGGCCTTGCAGTTTGCAGCCCAATTCATAACCGCTACGCTACCAGAGACTGAATAAATATGGTAAAATGATACAACCCTGGAGCACATCTTTCCTGATTTTAAACCATCAGTATCCCTTTGTTCTGTTGGAACAACTGCCTCTCGATCTATGTACAGATTCCTTATGAGCATGATTAAGTGTTCTGGAATACTGCAAAAAAAACATTCTTTGCAATCTTACCCATAGCTTGTTATAATCCACACAGTAAAAAAGTCATTGCATGGTCAATAAAGTACAGGTAAACATCTTTCTGGTATTCTCTACTTTTAGCCAAGATCTCCATCTGATGTCAGCAATGACATCTCATGTCCTTTTCAGAATCTGGCTTGAATTCTGGCAGCTCTCTGTCAATGTGTTGCTACCACCATTTTTTAATTATCTTCAACAAAATCTTGTTGTTGTTGTTGTCAGGTGCCATCGAGTCGGAACCGACTCATAGCGACCCCATGCACAGCAGAACGAAACAAT